TTAATATATGAGTTGCTATTACGATATAATAGCAATACATTTGTATATCAAATAGCAATATAATATAGAATTGTTTGAATATTTAGTATTAAATAAGTATAAAATAATTAAATATTTAATAATAAATAGCCATTAAAATATAAGTTGTATAATACTGGTGGTGTACAGTGACTTATACCAGAATCCAGTTAAATTTTATTGAAATGTTAGGATTTATGATGTATAACAGTTATTTGCAAATAATATTACATTTTCTTCGATTGTTGATTACATTAAAAAAAAGTGTAATAAAATATAATACAAAAGTGTGAAAATATAGACTAAATTCTCGTTTTTTAATTATTCGTAAATTATTATATTAAATTACATCAGAGAATAACATTAACACTATTTATATCCCACAGGAAGGGTGATCCTAAAAGTTACAAATGTGATTGCTCAATTGTAGTTAAAATACTGTCAAAATGAATATGAATTATATATGAACTGAATTAGTTGTACGCAGACATCAATATTAATAAATCAGAATATAAGATAATAGAGATCTCTTTATAAAAGTGGTGTTACTATACTATCAAACCATCGAAATTTACAAAATACTTAATGCTTCAAATAATAATAAGTTTTGTATATTAATTATAATATACAACTAACTTATTAACTCTTCTTTTGATATTGTATAATGATTTGAATCATCAAATTTTCTAATAGAAATACAATGACAGCAATTCTGCACTAACTTTATAGCGGGAATTACCACTAAAGATAACTTTTATTAGTATAAGTGCTATTTAAAAGATCAATTGTATTTAACGTATTAATGAATTAATATAATAAATAGTTATACAAATAAGTTACATTCAAAGTAATATCAGAGTATACAGTATGTCCTGTTGCAAGTTGTAACTCTAAATTACTAGATCTCTATGCAATTAGTTGTCAATAAAGTAATTGACAAGAATTAAGGCAGTAAGTAAGGCTTATTATTTATTTTATCATTACAACGTTCAATTCAAACAGAACTTGACATTCAAACAGTTATAATAATTTTATGTCTAAAAATATATATAATTTCACACTAAAAGGTAAGAAATTTTTTAATAACAAAATTTTCAAAATATTCTGAATGTTGTTTTGATTTCAAAATACTTCTCGAAATAGAAAATAATAAACAGATGCTTATATTCCGAGTCATGATCTCATACAAGAATTTTATTAAACAGTCAAGTTTTGATTACAACAGGTATTAAATTTTATAAAAACAATTTGATGTGTATATCCTTTATGAGAATTCAATAACAGAATTCATTATAAATAGTCAAATTATAGTTAACCCTGATTAAAATAGTAATGTTTTTGAATTAATATAATATTTTAGGGAAATACAGCGCTACTGGTATTGAATACCCTTTTATAGCAATGGTATTATAACTTCAAATCTCTGTTGATCTCAAATTAATTTTGTTTCATTATAACTCAATTCTTAAGATAACTAATGGAGTAATGGAGGGGTTTATTACAAAATGTGAAATTAGTTTATTATTATTTCCTCAATTACTTTTAAAAGGTCTTACATTATATACAATAGGATTATTTGCTAAAATAGCCTTCACTGCCCACTACTTTCTTTAAACCTTAAGATAACAGTGCAGTTATGAATATAATAAAATATATTTAATGTAATTCTTATAGCAATAAAGTTAACATTAATTTTAACTTAAATTACTTTTAATAATTTACATCATTTCCATTCTTATTATGACTAAATGTACATAACATTTAACACAATTATGTTAATAACATTGCTGTACAAAATCAGTATAATTTATAAATTGAGATATTGACAATAGACAATATAACACAATTTTTAATTAATATATTTATAAATTTTATCATCACTTTATTACTTCTTACTTTATTTACTAATTTTCTTGCCGTATATTTTACATAAGTATGAAAATGAAATAAAATAATATTTAAAGACAATGCTTAAAATGGAGATCAAGAGCTATTTTATAATTTATAATCTTAAAATGTTTTCAGACTTAAATGTTTAAAATATTTAAAATAAAATATATTATATCAATAGTAGGTATTAAAGGGTGGGCTTATTTAATTTTATATTAATAAATCATAATATAAACTAGCGCGATATTACGGTAATAGAAATAAGTTGTCACACCTTTGATAACTTTCACAGTTATTGAAACATAGAGACGATAAGTAAATATTTAGAGGATTTGTGATATTCTTATCCTTTTTTGAAGTAAGGCCTAAGGATATGAACAGTAGTTTTGAGTATTAAACATATAGTAATATAAGAATTATTATACAATGTTATCTATTAATTATAGTTATGCTTTATTTGTCGCAGAAATCTGTGAAACTATTGTACGACAAATCATTTGAATTGTTTTTATTTAATAAAATATGGCATATCTTCAAAGTGTAAAACCGCTTTTAATATGATTTTGGTGTTAAACATAAAGAACAAAAACTAATATTTTGTTTAGCAATTGATTGCTGAATATTGACATACATTACTTGTTTAGTACTCTTTAGATTGAATTCATTGATAAAAATTGTGACAAATGTTTTTCTGGAAGCGAAGAAAAACAAAAATTAATATTTTTCATTGAATATTGTTTTACTTTAAAAGTTATGATGAATTAGTCATTTAATTAAATGCATACTTCAGCTCTTAAAGACCAAATCATTTTCAATTTAAATGAATAACTTATAATTAAAATAAGGCAGAAATGAATCCACAATTTCAGCAATCTTTAAAGTCAGTACAAGTGATGAATAAATTTATAGTTTAGTATAGAGTTGTTATGATCTTGTGTTTAATATTAAATATCACAACATTTATATTTAATTTTATGTCACTCTATAGTAAATTATAGAGTTTATACTGCAGTTAAATAAGACAAATATAATTAATACACCCATAAGAAAATTAATGAGAGAGAGAGAGAGAGAGAGAGAGAGAGAGAGAGAGAGAGAGAGAATAGATTAGGAGTGGGCTGTGCGGCAGTGTCTTTATATGGTAATAGTTATCAGGCCTTTTACAGAAGTTTTTTGCAAGATTTAAATTGTTTTTTATGATTCAACTTTCAAATACACTCATATTTTTATCAACAAAATCCAAATTAACGGTAATTAATACATAGGAATAAATGAAAACAGATGTGGGTTTCACTAATCAAAGAAGATTTCTTCTTCTTTTACCGAATTTCTATTATTATTATTAAAAGAAGAGAAACTATTGTTGTATTAATTAATTGTTTAAATATATGTGAAGCAATCGTACTCTTAAAAAATGACTGCAAATTATGTTATTTCAATATATATTTAATCTCGGCATCAGATAATCTGATGTACTTATAAAACTTGTTTTGTTTTACGTGTAAACTTGAAAATAATTTTTGTTAAATGTGTTTCAAAACAATTTAAAAACAATAATTACATATATATCGATATAATAACAAATTTAAATATTAGATTTATTAAATAATGTGTGGTTTTATTATTCATACAATTAGTTCAATGTTACGTTTGAAAGTAAAACAAATACTCAGACTTTTATTTGACAACTGGTTAACACAAATTCGCCCAATTCTTCGCTTACACCTAATTATAGCTTTTAAATTGGAGATGCCTTTTAATTCTCTCTCTCTCTCTCTCTCTCTCTCTCTCTCGTTTTTGAGGTCATCCTCGCCAACAATTTGTTTTATTATTCAAACATAACATTCATACATGAAATTGGAGTTAAAAATGATTTGAATGGTAGTGAAAGTCATCGCAAACTTATTCAATATATCGGAGACACTATACGAGTGGATGTCTGGCCTCAAAATGCTTTCCTTTTTTATATTTGCGTTTTAATCAAATAATAAATAACTAATGATTATTTGAAAGCAATTTTTGCAAATAATGCAATAAAAATGAACGGTAAGACGTTTTAATGTATATTTTCTTGATTTTGTTAATAATAATAAAATTAATGTTTTGATGCCTATAATTGACAATTAGTGTGAAAATATCAATCATTTTAATGCCTGAACACAGGTTTATAAACATCCGTTTATAGAAACTAATGATTTCTGAAAATTTTCATGACTTTTCATTAATATAAAAGTTTACTTTTCTCTATTCGTGTTCATTTGTATGCATTGTTTTTATACATCAAATATATCGCACCTGCACTTCAATACCCTTCATCTATGGGTTCTTGAATCACATCATTAACAAACTCACTAAACAGTTAATTAACGCTTTTTTGTATTGTATTTCACTAGAAGTTTGAAAGTTGTTGTGCAGACAACCAGTCAATACATCCAATTGATTGTGAAATGCCTTCAAATGAGTTAAATTCTCATTTAAATGTGTTTTTAAAGATTTTACATCAAATTTCGGGTAATCCTCGCTGTAAGACACCATTCCTTCATATATTACAGCATTTGCTTGAAATTGATTACAAGAACAATGAATTGCCAGCAATTATCTGGGATTGTGTCGAAGCTTTCGTACAAAACGCTATCAATTCAATCAAATGCAAAGAAGACTCAGAAAAGTTGTTACGATTTTACGAAACCCTCAAAAATTCTACAAATATCATTTCAAACGGATTTCTTTCCAATCAGTCGTTAAACGAATCAAATTCTTCATTAAATAATGGCATCAAAACACAAGTGAACACAAATCAAACCCAATTTAATGGATTACCACAATCTATTCCTCCTCCACCACCCCCACCCCCTCCGCCCCCATTACCACATTTGTCAGTAATAGGTCCGCCGCCACCACCTCCTCCTCCATCCTCATCACCGATCAGTTCAGAGCTAAAAGATAGCAAAAAGAGTGAGAAAAGCAATGCTTCGGTCTCTGCTTCACAGCCCTTGTCTAAATCATTGCTGCGACCAAAGAGTTGGGACAATGAAATGTCTTCTTTGGTTCCAAAACTACCGCAACAAGAAATACCAAAACCAAAAAGCAGAATGAAATCAATTAATTGGTCCAAAATATCGTCGGATAAAATTATATCCGCAGATAAACCAAACCTATGGAGTCTTGTGGCGGCTCAGCATAAGTCGGACTTTCATCCAAACGTGGATTTCAGTGAACTCGAGGAACTGTTTCGCCAGTCGTCTAATAACTCTGCGCCCAATTCATGTCCGGGTTCTCCACGTCTACAACGACGACCGCATTCATCGGAAATCGTTGGCTCGCCTTTCAATAGTCTTGAAAGGAAAACACTGAAAAGATTGAGCGGAGAATATCAGACACCCGTTGAATTGCAACTATTGGACGCCAAAAAGTCATTGAATGTGAATATATTTCTTAAGCAATATCGAGGAAGTATTGAAGAGTTGACTAATAAAATCTCGTGCGGAGACCACAAAGAAATCGGAACCGAAAGATTGAAAAATCTGTTAAAAATACTTCCGGAAAGCAATGAAATTGAATTACTCAACAATAATAGCGAAGAATCTCATCGATTGCCGATCGCAGAGAAGTTTTTGCTAAACTTAATAAAAATTCCCAATTATTTGCTTCGAATTGAAGGAATGCTTTTGAAGGAAGAATATTATTCAAACGTTACATATTTAGAGCCCGCCATTCAATTGGTTAGAAATGCTGCCAAAGAGATCAAAGACAGCAATTCATTGCATGAGATATTGTATTTGATATTAGTTTTTGGCAACTTTTTAAATTCGGTTTGTATTTCGTTATAACTGTTATTAAACACACATTTAATTAAGATGTTAACGCATTTATAGGGCGGTTATGCTGGAGATGCGGCCGGTTTTAAAATGATGTCTTTACTTAAATTGCCTGAAATTAGAGCCAATAAACCGGGATTTAATTTAATACATTACGTAGCGATGGTATGTTTGCAATTAGATTATTAATTAACTTAATTTTAACTTTTGTCCACTTTTTATTGTCAAATGAATAGCACGCAGAGAAAAAAGGGTTACAGAACTTTAGTTCAGAGCTTCCGAGTCTGGATGAGGCCTCGAAGTATGCTTTCAATTGATTCAATTTGTTTGATTTCATTAATTAAATTTCATTTTCACAATAAATAACAGAATATCCGTCGAAAACCTTCGATTAGATGTTAATTCGTTGTCCAACAAAATCCGTTCACTTAAAGAGCAAATCAAGAAACAGAAAAAGGATTCATCGCTTCATAAAGAAATGGATAGTTTTCTCACTTCTAGTGAACGAGAAGTTAAAAAACTATCGGTTGGTGTCGAGACTCAGTTGAATGAAATACGTGTAGAAATGGCAGAATTTTTGTGCGAAGAATTGGATCGATTCAAACTCGAAGAATGTTTTCGGGTTTTCTCAGCGTTTTGTCAACGCTTTAAATTAGCGATCGATGAAAATGAGAGAAGACGTGAAAACGAGCTGAAACTGGAGGCCCGGAAGTCAAACTCACAGTTAAAACGATGGACTAATAGCACAGACTCTGATAGCTTTCTGATAGAAAATAGTTTAACGCCAACTAATTCTAGCAATTGTTTAACAAATTTAATGAGCAGTTCATTCAATGGAGAAAATAAACTGAAGCGAAGGTCGAGAAGAAATTCACAGGAAGACGATCTCCACACCGGACTAATGGATCTCTTGAAGACATCCAATGATTTCGGAAGTAATGAAATACCGATATTTGGCGGAAGTTTTAGACGAATGGGAAGCGGAAGACGAAGTCGTACTTCAATTCCTATTTTTGATTCAGACCTAAACAGTAGAGACAGGAATACAAACGATTGCAAAATTAAAGAAGAAACCAATGAAGTGAACGAAAAGGAAAATATGAGCGCAAAACTCAAAGCGGACACAGAATTTGAAAACAAAAATTTAGTAAAAAAGAGTAGTTATTTATCAGACGGAGAATCAGACGATGAAATTCATAAGAAAAGGCATTCTTTTGACAGATTCTCTCCTTTAAGGAAAACATTGAGTTATAAACCTTCAGAACTGGAGTCACGTCTTAATAGAAGATTGAATAAATTGGAAGACAAACCAATTTTGATGAATACTAATAGTAATGTTATTGAAACACAAGTAAAAGTCATTCCAAATAACAGTATTATAAGAGGAGAACATGTTTCGAGTCCAACACTTCTTCGACAATATTGGACTTCAAAGGAAAATAATCGCAAAGACGACGGACAAGTCATAAGCCGACCTCGATATTTGGCGGAAGTTTTAGACGAATGGGAAGCGGAAGACGAAGTCGTACTTCAATTCCTATTTTTGATTCAGACCTAAACAGTAGAGACAGGAATACAAACGATTGCAAAATTAAAGAAGAAACTAATGAAGTGAACGAAAAGGAAAATATGAGCGCAAAACTCAAAGCGGACACAGAATTTGAAAACAAGAATGTAGTAAAAAAGAGTAGTTATTTATCAGATGGAGAATCAGACGATGAAATTCATAAGAAAAAGCATTCTTTTGACAGATTCTCTCCTTTAAGGAAAACATTGAGTTATAAACCATCAGAACTGGAGTCACGTCTTAATAGAAGATTGAATAAATTGGAAGACAAACCAATTTTGATGAATAATAGTAATGTTATTGAAACACAAGAAGTAAAAGTCATTCCAAATAACAGTATTATAAGAGGAGAACATGTTTCGAGTCCAACACTTCTTCGACAATATTGGACTTCAAAGGAAAATAATCGCAAAGACGACGGACAAGTCATAAGCCGACCCTCGACTCTATATTTGTCCAACAATTACAGCAGTCAACCGACAGCAGTCATAACGCCCACAAAACTGATTAGAGATGACGACACTTCGGCTGAGAGACCACATCTTCTGTCGCCTATATTAACGTTAGAGAGCGAGAGACTTAACAGAAGTGGTTGTCTTCCGCGTCGGACAAGTATTTCCTCGCCGTCGACGGCAACTGCGGCCGCAATTGTTTCTCCCATTCAATTGAACGATACGATTGAGAAATGCATTCCAAGCGCTCCATTAAAATCCAAACTTCCTCTTCCCGTAAGAAGGACTCCATCGATACCACAACAGAAAAAGAGTGGCACCGGATGTCAAAAAGTACCTAAAATGGGAATTCCTGTGTCAACAAAATCATCAACAGATCGACCACTCGTAACAGTTAGTCGCTCTTCGAGTTTGAATACAAACACCCGGACATATAGGACGCCATCGACTGTCAGCCGAACAAACATGACTTCAGACGTGGGCTCAATATCATCGATGAAGCGCTCGACACAATACTTATCACCGAATCGATCGTTTATGAAACAAACCTCTTCTTCAGCAGCAAAGAGTCGAATCAATTCTCGATTTTAATTTATACACAATTCTACTGAAAGAATTGCCATTCAAATGATATTTAAAGTCAATTTTGTTTTTACATTTAATATTTTAACTTTAACTTTATGAAACAATCTTAAAGTAAAGTAACGTTTGCACAGAATTGTACAGTAGTTTATTAGGAAAGTATTAGATATTTTATATTACAAAAAATACATGAGTGTAATTCTTAATTTGTTTTAAGAATAATCTCTTATAAATACAATTATCGATATTTTAAATGTTTAAAAATATTTTTACTGTAGTTTTGTTTGAAATATGGATCTCAAAAGAGAAATAAAATGTTATGCTTTTGAATGCAATTCTATTA